TCCTCCCCGCCACTCGACGCGTGGCGACGGCGGCGACGCGGAGATGCACTTCCGGCCCGGCGACGGCGACCGCACGGGGCCAATCTTGTGCACTTCCGGCCCCGGGGATGGCGCCCGCGGGGGGGACAATCTTCTCCCGCCACACGGACGCTCGCCTCTGTGCTGCCCCTTGTCCAGCGGGAAGAGCTGGTCACAGCATCCCCCGGGGCTCCTGCCCCTCTTCCGACATCCCTGCGATACTATAGACTTAAAAAAGAAGTTCTTTGTAACATTTGGTAGCAATGAGGGCCTTATCAAGACACCAGTAACAGCTTCCAGGAACAGCTTTCCAGAGAAGGAAAAAAGGCGTCTTTAGGGAGAATAGTTGTATTTGAGATCTCATTGGACCACCTAAGTTTCATCTGAGGTTCCTTCTTAGCTATGGGGCCAGGGATAATATATTTATTTTTACCCTTGTCTTATTTTGGATGGTCTTTCCTCTTAGGTAGGCCCAAGTTAGCCTGGTTCTTGTGATGGAGAGCAGGCAGGCAGAGAACTCTCCAACCTCCTGCTTCTGGCTTTTGAGGGTTAGGATTACAGGTGTATGCCACTAGGCCCGGTTTATTTTTACTCTTTATTCCTAGTACTACCTGATTCGTGGTAGGAGTGCACAGAGGTAGACTAAATGAATACATGATGGGAAGAAATTGGTCAAGTTAATCCTGGAGGCCTGTTAAGGTAAAACCTAAATAAGCCTTCTAGCTTCACTTGCTTTTAGCTGACATTAAAAAGTACTAATTTGGGTCAGGCACTGGTGGCTCACACCTGTAATCCAAGCTGCTCAGGAGGCTGAGATCTGAAGATGGTCGTTCCAAGGAAGCCCAGGCAGGAAAGTCCATGAAACTCTTATTTCCAATTAACCCCCAGAACGCTGGAAGTGGAGCAGTGGTTCAAATGGAAGAGGGCTAACCTTGAATGAAACAGCACCCAGGCCATGAGTTCAAGTCCCAGGACTGGTACAAAAATTTTACTAATTTGGGAGGTCATAGAGCTGAGCAATATTAGTTTCCCATTAGCTTTTCTGTAGATACAACCTCTGATGTGGGCATTAGGGTGATAACGTCTACCTAAATTACGTTTTAGAGTCTTGAAGGTCACTTTTGCTGAAAGTACTAACTCTTAGGTTTACAGTTGTCTGCAAGATGATTAAGACAAGGCTGAAAACTTTGCATGTTATTCAGGACTTAACAAAGGTTCTATCGAAGGTTGACTGGACCTAAATATGTCTAACGTTCCTCTTCCTCTCCAAGGGTGAAGACACCAATATAAGAATACCTATCATTTCCCTGCTGTTCCTCCTTTTCCTCCATATAAAGCCCTTTCACACTCCTGAGTTCCACAAGACCTCCTCTTCCTTCTTTTTCTTTTTTTTTTTTTGGGGGGGGGTGCTGTACCTTAGCTTTTTTGCCCAAGACTGGCATACTACCACTTGAGCCACATCCCAACTTTTGGCTTTTTGGTGGTTGAAGAGGAGAGTCTCATGGATCTGACTACTGGAGCTTTGAACTCAGGGTCTTCTATTTGCTAGGCTGGCTTGTTCTGTTGGTGCTCTACCACTTGAGCCACATTTCCATTCTGTTTTTTTTGATGGTTACTTTGGAGATGGAGTGTCTTAGACTTTTCTGCTTGTGCTGACTTGAAACTATGAGCTACCAGGTCCCAGCCTGCTGAGTAGCTAGGATGACAGGTGTGTGAATCACCAATGCTTGACTTCCCTCCGTGGTCTTTTTAAACCAGCAAATGAAATTATCTTAGTTTCTAGCTTGACATTCTTCATCTTCTCTGACTCATGTGGCCCCAGCTGACAACTCGCTACTTGAAGTTTCTGATTCTCCCAAACTATCACTTTTCTCAGGAACATCAGCCAGGAACACCCTTTCTTACCATCCTTACCTTATCTGATACTTACAAGGAGTCTTTGGGCCTGAGATAAAGAATATTTTACTTAAATTTTTTTTTGAAATTTTGAGTTTCCTGGTAGAGTGAAAAATCAAAAGGTAATAAAATTGTGTTACAATTTAACTGTTAGCCTCTGTGAGTGTACTAAACTCTGACACCAACCTTTTTTTTTTGTTGTTGTTGTTAGTCATGGGGCTTGAACTCAGGCCTGGGCACTGTCTCTGAACTCTTTTGTTCAACAGCTCTTTTGTTCAAGGCTAGTGCTTTACCATTTTGAGCCACAGCATTACTTCTGGTTTTCTGGTGGTTAACTGGAGATAAGAGTCTCATGGACTTTCCTGTCTGGGCTGGCTTTGAACTGTGATCCTCAGATCTCAGCCACCTGAGTAGCTGGGATTGCAAGTGTGAACCACCAGCACCTGGCTGATGCCAAGCTTTATGAATGAATTATATCTGAAGGCCCCTGCTTGTAGGTTCTGCTCATGGTTATAACTGCAAGGCTGGGGGTAACTTATCTATTTCTTTGGCCTCAAGTTTTTTCAGTCAGTGTAGCATTTATTTAGCTATTAATATGCTACTTGAAGCCAGCTTATATTTGCTTTTTAAAAATTACCTTACTTTAGTTATATGGAAAAGGATTTCATAGTTGCATTTCTGTTCATATTGATAATATGTTTGAATCAATTCATATTTGCTGTGTGTGTGTATGTGTGTGTGTAAGTGCTAGTACTGGGGCTTGAACTCAGGGCTTGGGTGCTGTCCCTTAGCCTTTTTGCTCAAGGCTGGTGCTCTACCACTTGAGCCACACCACCACTTCCAGCTTTTTGCTGGCTGTGATCCTCAGATCTCAGCCTCTTGAGGTGCTAGAATTACCGGCAAGAGCCAACAATGCCTGACTTCCTTGTTTTGTTTTTGTTTTTGTTTTGAGATACAGTCTCATGTTGCAGTCCAGGCTGGCCTCATACTTAGGATCTTCCTTCCTCAGCCTCCCCAGTGCTGGGGTTACAGGCATGTACATTATGGAGCACATCTGGTCAAGCCCTGTTCTCTCCTCTTACAGACTTCATCTGCAAAACATACTTATGAGGATACACACTTGACAACAGTACCTGACTTACATGAATGAAAGTTGCTTCCCCCTTCCCCCTCTTTTTTTGGGTACAGGGTCTTCCTATGCAGCCTGGCCTGGTCTTGAACTTCTGATGTCACTTGTGCTGCTGTTTGTCCTCTGTGGATTGGGAGAATGATTGTCATTGCATTGTGGCCCAGCGGCTCAGTAAATGTTTCTTTTGCATTTGGTGGTGGCGGGCAAGCTGCTCCTGGTTTGGTTCTTGCGTTTATCTGTATCTTGCGGTCTCTCTATCTTTCTAGTTCCAGGCGAGCCTCACCACCCTCCTTCTCCACTCCAGGTTGACCTATCACACTCACCCAGCGCCCAGATGTAGGGCGTTTCCTTCTTAAGCTGACAATTGACTCCTTGCCCACATCTAGCTCCACACAGCACACATCCAGACCCTGACTGGCGTGTGTGGGACGGACAGGACACTGCTGGATTTGAAGGTGAGCGCTCCATGGGAGAATCTCAGAGTAGAGCAGAGGTTTGGGAGGAAACAAAGAGCTTTTAAAAGGGGGCGAGGGAAAATACTCAAGGGTGAGGGAACAGGATAATTACATCCCACCTCTTTCTCTAACCAGGAAGATGGCCCTGCTCCCAGCCAATAAGGACCTCATTTCTAAAGGAGTGAAGGAATTCAGTGTTCTGCTGAATCAGCAGGTAAGCTTGGATTCTCTGTTCCAAAGGGCAGGGCTGGAGAGAGTGTGTGTTGGGTGAGGACAGTAGAAAATGGTTCTTCTTTGAATATGATGCTGCAAGGGTAATGGTGACATTGAGGAGAAGCTAGAGACAGTGAATTCAAAGCAGAGAAAGGAGGATGTGAGAATCTGTGACACTGGCTCTCCTCTTCCTTCCTTCCTTCCTTCCTTCCTTCCTTCCTTCCCTCCCTCCCTTTCTCCCTTCCTCCTTTCTTTCTTTCCTCCTTCTCCTCCTCCTCTTTCTGCTTGGTACTGGGGCTTGAACTCAGGGCCTCACACTTGGCTTTTATGCCCAAGGTGGGTACTCTACCACTTGAGCCACAACTGCACTTTGAGCTTTTTGCTGCTTAATTGGAGATAAGCTTCTCACAGACTTTTCTGCCTGGGCTGGCTTTGAACTGTGATCCTCAGATCACAACTTCCTGAGTAGTTAGGATTACAGAGGCCCGAGCCCAGTCATTAGCAATGGGCCACCAGTGCCCAGCCTATTCTGGCATTCCCGAATCAAATTACTCACCACATTTCCCCTTGCCAACGCCCTCCCTCCTACCGCAGGTCTTTGAGGATCCTCTTGTGTCTGAGGATGACATGGAAAAAGTGGTGAATGACTGGATGAACATCTACATCAACTATTACAGCAAGCACGTTGTAGGGGAGCCTCAGGAGCAAGACACAGCTCTGAAGGAACTTCAGCAGGAGCTGAAGTCTCTGAGCAGCCCTTTCCTGGACAAGTACAAGACCTTCCTGAAATCTCGGGAGCATCCAAATTAGACATCACCTTCTCCTAGCTCTTCAACTCTCAAACACCCCTAAGCCCTGTCTCTGTGTGTTTTATGTGTTTCATTATGGTATTACTTTACAGTGACACCCCAATAAAGACCAAGACTGGTTTTTGCTAAACTTCTGGCTCTTTTTCCCACTGTCCTTGCTTTTGTGAAGGCTGTTGGTCTGTTTTCCTTCAATCCTTTCTAGCTGAGACCTTGGAGAATGAATTCTTTACAGTAAAGGTAAGCAGTACTGGGCAGTGCTATCATAGGAGAGAAAATGCTGGAACAGGGGTGGGGAGTGGCAGAGGCAGAAAAAAAGAAAGGGTGAGAAAAACCTTCCAGAAATTGTGGTCCTGTGACTGGTGTACCTAAAAAAAAAAGTTGTTGCAGGTCTGTTCGTCTGGCTGTAGGTCTATGGTCTCCATATTTCAATCCCCTTCCCATAGCTAACCCAGTTTGAACAATAATCCAGGCTTTTCAACCACAGAATAATGCCTCCTCCCACCCCACCCCCAGACTCTCAGGAGTATGGCAGTACCTTACAGAGTTGAAAAGGGTCTTGGGAACTACCCAGCTCATCTCCTGTATTTCAGATAGGAACCCCTTGCCTTTAATCTTCACTTCCTTCAGACCTGAAGGGACAGCATCAGCTGGCTCTCCTCCCTGTCCAAGCCTCCTCCTGTCACTTCCCAGGTAGGGACACCTGTTCTTTCAGACCCTTACTTTAGAGTTTTTGGGTGGATCTAGGGCCAGGACAGTCTCACTGCCTTAAAACAGAAGGATTTTTGTTTTAGACTGCAAGGGTCTGTTCTGAGAAATCCAGAGGGCTCAAGTGGGGCTCAGGAGAGGAGTAATGGAGAGGGTGTGGCCTGAGGGCTGATGGGTGTGTCCTAACAGTGAAGGGGCGGGGTGAGGAGGCTGGAGTACATCAATTAGGTACAGTGGTGCAGTGTGGGTGGAAGGCATTTCCAGTTCTGGATTCAATGATACAAGTCTGGGCTCCACAGGGATTGTCCCTTAGGTCCTACCACCAGCAGGCTTTTTCCTTGGGGCAATGTCTCCTGTGAACAGCACTTGACCCACAAAGGATCCCTGTAACCTGTCACATCAAGGGGTCATGGTGGCTCTGTGTCCCTGCTCCTCAGAGGTAGAGTTTGTTCCTTCCTGAGGCTGTTCATTTAAATCACAAGGTGACTCAGGACTATTTTCTAGGACAGGGAAAAGCTTATCCTGGCCCCGTCTATGACAGGGCCACCTGGGCACATGCCAGAGAGTAAGGGGTGGGGAAGGAGGGCCGTGACAGAGGGGAAGTGGCACAGTGGAGGCACAGGCTGTGGTCAGGTCACTTTGGGTTGGATTTCAATGTCCTCCATGGACAAAGAGGTTACAGGCTGAGGTCCTTGCTGGCCACCTGTGACTGCTTAGTACAGATTCCTGCAATGTAGATACCTCAGGATCACTGTTCTAGAGCTCTGATACCAGTACAAGTCCTCCCTCTGTACCCTGGATTTTGTTTACAGATCTTTTATCCAGGAAGGAGGAGGAGGGAGCCAAGATTCCACCCCCTATGGTAGCTGCTCCTACACTATGGATTGTGTGAGCTGGGGCAAGGGACTCTGCCAGAGCCTCAGTTTCCCCCTGGGTAGAGTGAGGTGATTTGCAGTCCCCTGGAGCAGCACCTGACCAGCTGTCACATATGTCCATATCTGACATTCTTACTGTTTACTTTTCAGTCCATTACACCTTACACATTACATTTGGGCCCTGTGGAAGCCCAGGGTCCTGGAATCTTTTCCCTGGGCATCCAGTCTTGCCACAAAAGTCCAGTGTGAATCTAGGGTTATGTGCATCTCACATCCTGGGAATGGAAGGCTGTGAAGTCACACGAGCACTTTCTTGCCAAGAAAGTGAGAGAAACAGATGCTTTAGGTGGGAGCTCTTCAAGGCAGGGAAATGGAGCATCATTGGAAAGATTCACAGGAAGCTGAGATCCGAGGCTTGAGATCAGAAGCCAGCCCATTCTGGCAGGAAAGTCCACGAGACTCTTATCTCCAGTTAACCACCAATAGTGGAGTTGTGGCTCAAGTAATAAAGCATCTGTCTTGAGCAGGAAAGATAAGGGACAGTGCCCAGGCCCCTGAGTTCAAGCCCTAGGACCTGTTCTCTCTCTCTCCCCCTCCCTCCCTCCCTCCCTCCCTCCCTCCCTCCTTCCCTCTCCCCTCTCATACACACACAAGAGCCAGTAGTAGAGGAGGGCAGAAGTACATTCTGCATATGTATAAAAGCAGTATAATGAAACTCAGATAAAATTATTAAAAGGGAGAGGGATCTGGGTGCTGGTGTCTGTAATCCTGGCTACTCAGGAGACTGAGATCTGAAGATAAGTTTGAAGCCAGCCAGGCAGGAAAGTCTGTGAGACTCTTATGTCCAATAAACTACTCAGAAAAAGCCAGAAGTGTCGCTGTGGCTCAAGTGGTAGAGCACTAGTCTTGAGCACAAAGAGGCACAAGGACAGCTACCAGGCCCAGAGTTCAAGACTCAGGACCAGAAAAACAAACAAACAAAAAGGGAGAGGGAAGAGGGGTTAAGAAAGATGGATGAATTTGATCAAAGTAAATCATATGCATGTATAAATGTCACAATGAAATCTCTTTATGTAATGAATGCATGCTAATAAAAGTGTTAAAAGAAGATTAGAAAAACCCTCCCAAAGAGCCTCAGTCAAGAAGAACAAAGCAGGAAGAATGGTCTATTAAATTAATAAGTTCAGTGTTGGATGGTACCAGGCAGGGCTGTAATTGGGTGCTAGAAGATGAAACTAAAACCCACCTCTCCTGAGCTCCTGGCTCTTACTGTCCTTTCCATGGTGTCATTCTTCTGAGAGGTCTACCTTCAAGATGAAAAGATATGCATCATTTTTCAGCCATTTAACAGAAAAACGAAAAATCAAAAAACCTCCTTCCTCAGGGTTCCAACTCATTCAGTTTGATTGGCCACATATTCAGGGCTTAACCCACCAGGCCAATCAAAGAGAATACTCGTTGTTGATTGGCTAGGCTGGAGGTCATGTGATTTCTGTCTTCTAGATGTCCAGGAAGCTATTCCTCCTCTATCCAGGTGGAGGAACCGGTGGTGCCTGAGAGAGCAGGGTTAAGGGTGGAGCCTCTGCTTCCCGTGGCCTTATTTCTTGTGATGCTGAAACCAATTGTTCTGCAAAGGAAGATTCAATGAGCAGCTATTATGTGTCAGGGTCTTAGTAAGTGCTAGATTCAAAGAACTACAAGGCTGATACTATTCTTCATCTCGAGGAGATGGTATGCTAGCAGAGCGCAAGCAAATCAAGTAGACAAATGTAGATGGGGTTAGTTAATCCACGTTAAAAAAAAAGTCAGACAGGACAAATGGGTTGAAGAAGGTGGATGCTCTCTCTCTCTCTCTGGAGTGTTCAGGTTGGTTCTTTGCACACGTCTCACTTGCTATCTGACTTTCAGCACCAAGGACAGCAGCCAAGGGCCAATGAGCAATAGGAGTGGGAGAGCCGGTTGGTGATGGCTCAAGTGGAGTTCATTCCAACACCGTCCGATGTGCCCTTTGCTGGCCTCTTCCTCGGGGAGAACGACTGCGTGGTCCCCGTATGGTCACTACTCGTGTCCTAGGGCGCAAAAGTGACAGAGAGGGACCTGAGATATTGTCGCTGCGGCCTCCCACGAGAAAACATTCCGATGGACCACAGGGGCGCGTGCCTGGGCTGGTGCGCCAGGGCGTTGGGGGCGGACCAGGGCGCGCGCTGCGCGTGCCTCCTGTAGTCCTTGCTGGGGCTGGGCCGTCTCCCTCTCCACCCCCGCCCCCCTCCCCGCCACCAGGGCGTAGGGATGGAGTAGGCAGCTCGCGCCCCTCTGCGGGTCGTTGCTGTCCCCTCCCTCCCAACCTCCAACACGACGCCAAATGTCCATCGTTCCTTTCAGCTCAAATGTCAGTGCGTCCAAGGGCAGGGCTACAGTGCAGGGAGTTTGTGGGCTTCCTTCTTCAGGGAAATCTAGAAGTCTCGACGTTTCCAGCAAAGTAATTGCCCAGGAAAGGCTCGGCCTTTCCAAAGCCAAGCCAGCTGGCCCAACCCACGGATCCTCAGGTACTCTGGGAGGGAGGGAGAAGGCGGACCCCAGGCCCCTAACTCCTCTGCCCGGACACTGCTTCTCCTGAAATCTTCCCACCTGCATCACTGAAAGTTTGGCAACAAGTTTGCGATCCAGTACACCCTCCAAGGGGAAATCCACAAAAAATATGTCCAAGCGGTGGGGAAGTGGCAGATGTGGGCAAACGAATGATGAAATTCTATCTACCTGCCCTGCAGGGTTCTAGAAGAGAGTTAAGTGTTGCATATTTATAAAAAGAAAAAAAATCACTATTTTCTTGTTAATTCAAGTATTCATTGCATGGGGCTATTATTTTTTTTCCTTTTAATTCTTTTTTTAATTTAATTTAATTTTACTTGTGAACATACTGTACAGAGGGGTTACAATTACATGGGCAAGATAATGCGTACATTTCTTACCAAGCATTGCATCCTCCTCCTTTGTTTACCCTTCACATCCCTTCCCAGCCTCCCCCCTCCCCCCCAATCCCAATCCTTCTCCTTCCCCCTCCCCC